GGCAACTAGTGGCAAAGCAATACGACGCAGTGATAATTGGTAACTAACAATTTTTGCTGAGGTTATCTCTACTGACAACATTCGTTTAAAAATAAAGTTTACAAATGCTTCTGTCTTCCCTCATCATTCGTCCAGTTAACTTGACGATGCCATGTTCGGTTAACGAGAATTACGCATGCGTTCCTGATTCCAGTCCCACCGGATGACTCAAGATAGTTCAGCGTGTACCTGATAACGTCACAGTATTTTATACGTTGGGTGGGGGGGCACACTCGCCTCTTTATGAGAGGGAGGGGAAAGGGGAGGTTTTTTACCTCACCCCGAGGGGAAAGTCGTCCCATATCATTTAAATATTCCTTAGACTAGAAATACAGGTCAGTGAAGCAGACGCCTCTCCCCCTTACAAGCGAGATGCACATCAGAGACACTAACTATCAGCTTGGAAAAGAATGAGGGGTGCGTTTCTTACGAATGCATTTCAGTTAGCAAGGGAATATTTTAAAGTGACCTCCCATGTAACTGAACTGATCCAGAAATATTTGATATTACAGAATTTAGCAGCCTGGAAGAGATGCAAGAAAAGCTCAGCGAAGGTACAATCGGAAGAGTCCTTGTGGATCGAAACACTGCATTTTACTTCCTCGATAAATCTGGACTAAAAAAAAACAGGCAGATCCGTATGATTCGCAATATCGATTATCCGATGGAATTTTACATGGCGCATGTGTACACAGGATCAGTGAACATTACAAACGATTCCGATACAGAAATTGCCAAAAAAAGACAAATAGTGGAATGTGGGTCAGCAATAAAAAAAGATTCCACAGATTTGCGTGCACTGAGTAATGAGGCTTCAGAGAATCTGATACCCGCAGAACTGCAGGTAATCTTCTCAAACACTTGTGAATTTTAAAAAGATTATCACGAAACTCAAGAGTGATATTGATTTTCGCGTCAGGTTTTTTGACGCGCGAGGATTCAAAAGTTTTTCGTCGCCTGACGGCTTAAACTGACGAGCAGGATTTTGAGGATCCTTTGAGATAGCTCTAGCCAACTTTTGATGAAAGAAAGCTTGCAGAGCTGAACACCTCATTTCGCAGTTATCTAGATATTTACTATATAGATATTTAACATATAGATATTTATCATATAGATATTTAACATATAGATATTTATCATATAGATATTTAACATATAGATATTTAACATATAGATATTTAACATATAGATATTTAACATATAGATATTTAACATATAGATATTTAACATATACATATTTAACGTATAGATATTTAACAAATAGATATTTAACATATAGATATTTAACATATAGATATTTAACATACAGATATTTAACATCTTCCTTTAATATCCACACATTATCTAGTCTTCGCAGCCGTCTTTCGGGATGTCTGCAACGCCCCCCG